GCATATTTGTACACATGTACAGTATGTCCAGACTGTACAGTTTGTCTAAAACACTGTAATTTATAAATACTTCAACACAGAGACTTCACTCTGGGCTCAAAATAAAGATAAAACCCCACAAAACACATTCTACCATCCATATGTACTCACAGCATGATTAAATTAAAAGATATATATTAATATTCATAAATATTTACACCAACTGGAGTTCATTCAGCCAAATTTCCACCAATAAACAGCCAAACCACAAGAATAAACTAATATATCCTTATTTCTTTCAGAGCATTAACATTCCACACAGCTTATAAAACCACCAGCAGTGAAAAATATTTGTTTTTCACTCACGTTTGGTGCATATTTGTCCTCAAATATGTCCAAATTAGTGATTCAAATTGGCTGACCGGAAGTCTTTTTATCCAAATATTTTTACTTCTCCTGGCCACAAAAATTACTCTTCTATGTCTTGAAGCACTCGAAACACTTAATAACAAAATATATTTTCATCTTATCAGCAGGTTTAGTCAGATAACTGGACAAAAAACGATGGAAAAAACGTTTTCCTGTGAGCGTGGCTGTCGTTGATAGCACAGCACGACTGTCTAAATATGGCGACCAGCTCTGTATTAACCTCGTCCGTCAGAACAAAGTTCCCACCCCCTCAATATATACACCAAATGAAAGGTACTGTGATTGATTACACAGCTGTGGCGTCAGAACGAAGCTCGGAGCTGATTGGCCGAATCTACAGTCAATCAAACCCAGGATGACAGAAACTGGAAGTTGGTCACTTCTCATATATTATTGGCTCTGGACAGTCGACACTTGAACCCATTGGTCAAATGAGGTGTCAATCGAAAGAGGAGGGCCTAGACGTCAAGTTTGATGCATTGAACACGGACACAGGTTGAACAGGAAACACCAGCCTGGTTTAAACCAGACCTTGACCTTCACTTTGCTTCGTACAAGGGTCTGGACTTGCTGCATAGAGAATCGATTTCTTGCAGGAGGCGTGGCCTCTGCTGAAGTTTAAAATGATTGGATCAGYTGGCTGCGACGTATGTTGCTGTGACGGAGGCTAAGCTAAGAAGCTAACTGGAAATC